GTAGCACTTGTAAACTGCTCTTTTTCATTCTCAGTATCATCTTCTTTTTCCCCATCATTATCAGTCACCTCGCTGTACAAAAGTTTGTTTTACTGAACTACAACGGCAACCGCCCGCTTGTTGGCTCCAACGTGACTTTGAGACTTCTGCTGAGTGACTGTTGTTGTGACCGCCTGTTGGCTATATTTATCGCTGCTACTCCATAGGGCCGTTAACCGCTACAGTAGTTCTGAGGAACTTGAGTTACGCAGTGCAGACGAATGCGTGTGTTAGTTGGTTGAACCAGTTGAAATGCAGCTGGCCACTCTAGTTTTGAAACTCCCCCCATGTGCGGACTCTCATACACTACCGAATGACCTCAAGTTAGGCTTCTCTTCCAACCCCTTACGGATTTTGATGAACGCCATTCCGAATACCGGTGGAATTGGATTACATACAAATGATCTTGTAACTCGACGCTTTAAGCGCCATCCGACTGCAGTGCCTTCTATTGATACTGGCTCTTCATAGGTGAACAAAACTTGCTTCGTTAAATGTGGTACTTGGTATTTGGGGCCTTTCTGAAAGCTGCTCCATGGATGGTAACTGCTGAGGTAACTAAAGACATCTAGACAGAAGACATCTGACCAAGTATTTTGTTCACTGTGTTCTGCCTATCTATATCCTCTATATTCGACAGAAGGGGTCAAAAACCAGACGCATATGAGGATAAATGTGAGCCTGAATAACAGGTGTGGTTACTGGAGGGTACGCCGTAGTACTACTAGTCAGCTAGTCTGCGTGAAGTCTTCGCCAAAATAAGCGTTTCCTCACCACAGACCTAAAGTCTCATGTGGTTGATTTTCGTCGGAAAGTATATTGTGGTTGCAGTGTAATACGCCTAATTCCTAAAAATATAGTTAAGTTAACATTTTTTGCCAAAATGAACACGTCATTTCATTGATTCGAAGAATTGTTTTAGGTGGTCGAAGCGACATAACTAAAATAAGCGTTTCCTCACCACAGACCTAAAGTCTCATGTGGTTGATTTTCGTCGGAAAGTATATTGTGGTTGCAGTGTAATACGCCTAATTCCTAAAAAAAAAATATAGTTAACATTTTTTGCCAAAATGAACACGTCATTTCATTGATTCGAAGAATTGTTTTAGGTGGTCGAAGCGACATAACTAAATTCCAATCTACTTTGTAAACGTACAAAAATGCCCTCAAGTGGAACCGCCTCTGTCACTGAATTAATCCTAGTGTGATTTACTGCAGCTATCTTAATTTCGGGTAGGCATTACTTAGCGGTGCACCCTCGAGCCATAAAATGCTGAACATAGATTTGTTATGCTCGGTATTAACCGCCATCTCCTCAAATATACACCTTTTCCGATTCACTTCAACTGTGTAGGAAGCTTACTCGATGTCTATTACGAAGGACCTCGGAACAAGTCTCAAGAGGTATTTCTGAGGATTGAACTCAATTGAAAACAGGCTCGGTCGTGACCCACCTTCGGGGCTGCAGGCGGTATGGAGTATTGTAGTGTCTGTAATCCGTTGTTACATTTACCATTCTTCCTGAACTTAAACCACACTTTGCAATTGTCGTTCACATTGTATCATGACGTTTGTTTTAGTGTTACGGATACACAATTTTCCGGCG